CCATTCACTACCCAAGGCTTCGGCACAGGCCTCCGGAGGCCTGTGCCGAAGCCTTTGGCGATTCTATTAGGCGTTCCCGAAGGAATTGGCTTGGATTGGCGCTGAGCCGGTCAGCTATGCCGCGTTTGTCCTCACAAGGTGCTGGTCTGGTGGTTTGCCGATCAGCAGTACTTCCCTGGAAAGATTGTGGACTGGGATGAGACCAAGTGCATGCACCGCATCATGTGAGCCATGGCAGCAGCGGGGGAGCAGCTGCTGAGGGCTGGGCTTTGTTGGTTCCTGGGGCACGGGGCAAAAAGGTAAAGGTGGGGAAGAGCCTCCACAGGCTTAACTTCCCGGTTTTAACGTCTAGCTTTAGACCATTATTTGATCTGCCCGACGCGCCAAGTGCAGTACCCCCCACTAGTAGTGAATGGGTCCCGGGGAGGCCTGTGCCGAAGCCTTGGCGATTCTATTAGGGGTTCCCGAAGGAATTGGCTTGGATTGGCGCTGAGCCGGTCAGCTATGCCGCGTTTGTCCTCACAAAGTTTCGACATGGGAGGAATCGAACCTGTGCCCTCTCGGAGGGTTTAGACACTAGCTCCAGCGCCTTCAAAGAAGGCCTTTCTTAGCCGCGGCCTAAAAGGCCGCCAAGGGCCGTCCAAGTGCCGTCCAAGGGCCGTCCAAGTGCCGTGCGCCTGGTCAGTGTGCCCCTTCAACTCCCTCACCGTCGTTGGCCGCGGCGTTAAATAAGGAGCTGGATGAGTGCCGGTGGGTGATACCACAGGCACGAGTTCGAACCCCAGCCGGGACACTAGCTGGGACTTTGCCTCACGGCACCTTCGTGGCGGCATCTGGGCGGTGGACGGCTGCCCGGCAGACCGGCATGGCGCTTGCAAGACGGAGCCTCCCCGGGATGCCATCGGCGGCCAGATTTTCCTCGCTCTGGACAGCCGGCAGGGTTAGCGGGTTCGGCCCCAGCACATTAATGTGCCCAATCCCTGTAACACACACACACACACACTCCCTGTGCCCACGCCTGCTCACTCCCCCCCCTGCCTGCCCACGCCCACCCACAGGTATGATGACGGCAACAAGGGCTGCAAGGATGCGGCGCGGGGCGAGAAGCTGCAGCTGGCTGCTGAGAAGTGGACGCTGCTCGAGGAGCCCCAGCAGCCCACAGCAGGGGGCTGGCCGCCGCCCGGCACGCTTCCAGGCAGCAGCAGTGGGGAGATGGCGCCGATGCTGGGCCGGCGCACAGACGGCAGCCAGGGGGCAGCTGGTGCAGGTGTGGGAGATCACGAGCAGCGCCAAAGCCAGCAGGACAAGGCGAGGGGCAAGCGGCCGGTGGACGAGGAGCGCGCCGCTGCAGCTGGCGGCGCCTCAGCAGCTGCCGGAGCGGCGGCAGCGGGTGGCAGGGATCCTGTGACTGCCCTGCGCGGCTTGCTCCCCTTCCTGCCCATGGCCCAGCGGGAGGAGGCAGAGAGGCAGCTGGAGGCCATGCTGCAGCGGGATGCCGCGGCTTCGGCTGGCGTCGCCGAGCTGGTCTGCAGAGAGAGGGACCTAGTGGCGCAGGCGCTGGGCCCGGCTGCCGGCCAGGCTGCTGGCGCCTCGCGGCCAGCGGCGGCACTGCCCGCCGGTGGGGAAGCGGTGCGCAGGAGCAAGCTGCTTCGCGAGGAGGAGGAGCGGGCAGCCCGGCAGGCTGAGGAGGTGGTGGGCGAGCTGCAGCGCGAGGTGGGGCAGCTGCGGCGGCGCCTGGCAGGCCTGGTGGATCTGGCAGACGTGGTGCAGGGTTGGGACACAGCCCGCGGCCAGGGCAACCCCCACGACTGGGCCTGCACACGACGGCGGGCATGGCACCTCTGCCAGCGCCGCCACTTCCTTTCCCTTTTTTTCTGTATCTTGGGTTTTGCGATTCATGAGGGTCGACATTATTCTAATAGAGGTTCCAATGTGTTCATCCAATGCTCTCATTCATTCTAATCAATGTGCATAAGTGCTTGGTCAAGCATGCCGCAGACCAGGTGGCGGCAGGTGGCGGGCGGTATTTAGATGCGTTGCAAAACATAGGCGGCCTAACCCACCTCTCCTCCTTAACTCCGGGACCAGCAGACGCGCCAATCAGGCTGCCCGCCAGCTCCGCATCGGGCGAGATGGACTCCTTGCAAGCTCAGCTGGAGGAGATTGAGGCGCTGCAGGCCTGCTATCCCGATGGGCTGATCGCCTTCAGCGCAGCAGAGGCGGACACACTGCGCTTTGCGGCTGCCGTGGCGGAGGGGACGTCGGGCGCCGCCAGTGCTGACGACGTGCCCGCGCTGTCTGGCACGCTGTGGCTCCCGGGCCTGGAGCTTGCAGGGGCACCAGTGCAGCTGAAATTTGTGCTTCCCAAGTGCAGCAGCGGAGAGGCAGGCCTGCAGGTGCTGAGCAATGCCCCCAGGTGTGCGGCGGCGGCTTTGTGCAGTGACCAACCGCAGCGTGTGGGAGGCAGAGCCTACATGTGAATCGCTGCGGGCCGCTGGCGCCACCATGACTGCAGGCAGGCAGCAGACCGGCTGCAGGCTGTGGCCAGCGGCACCGCCGCAGAGTGCGCTGCAGACGGCGCGCCCTGCCTGCTGCTTGTGGCGGACCGGCTGGCTGAGGCTGCCCGGGAGCTGGCGGAAGCAGAGGCAGCGGAGCGGCAGAGGGCTGGGGAGCAGCCACCTGTACCTGGCAGTGGCAGCAGCAGGCGGGCGCAGCAGGAGGCCAGGCAGCTGGTGCTCAGCCGGCGGTGCATCTGGTTCCATCACTGCAAGAACATCGGAAAGGCACGAGGGACAACTGCATGCGCTGGGCCCACCAAGTTTGTTTTTGCCACACAAATTGCATGCCGTGCAGCAGTCATGCATATGCCTAGCCAGCTCCCCCTCCCTGCTGCAGAGGAAGAGCATCATCCAATGGGGCGGCGAGCTGCAGCTCGGCGGTTACTCCAAGCCAGGCTTCCCGGGGATCGTGCTGGTAGAGGTGGGTGGGGTGGTGGGTGAGCATTCCAGCTGGCCGGTCTGCTTCTCGGTGCTGCTGGTGGTTCTGCTCCTCCTTTGGCTGCCGGCATGCCGTAAGGCAGCTTGTGCATGTGCGCCCGCTGCCTGGCTGGCTGCTGCAGGGAGCGGGATGTGACATAGATGAGTATTGTCGGCGGCTGCGGCGGCTGCGGTGGCAGGCCATGGCTGTGCGGGGTGAGCAGGACGAGCCGATGGGCAGCCTGCAGGCAAGCTCCTCATCCGATGCTGCTGGTGCTGCTCGCCACGGGCCATGCCCCTGCAGCCAGCAGGTGGCTGCAAGCCCTGCTGCCGCTCACCGCCGGTGGAGCCTGCCTTGCCGTGCCGCTCGGCGCAGGAGTTGGAGGCTGCGCGGCGCCTGCCGCGGGGCGTGCAGGAGCTGGGGGAAGAGGACATGGGGCGGCTGGCGGCGGCGAGCAGGGAGGCGGGGCTGCAGGAGCTGTTCCTCACGGCGCTCAAGCTATGATCAGCCCTGCTCACCCTGCTTGTTGCCTCGCTGTATGCTCCTGCGTTCCTGCCCCAATGCCTCCTTCACTTCCTCCATTGCTGTTTGTTGTTGCATTGAGTGAATGGTGGCAGCAGGCAGACAAGCACAGGGGTTGCTTTGTACTTGCTGCAAGACTGGCGGCGCTCAAGGAATGAGCAGGTGTGAAGTAGAAGCGTTGAGTGGCAAGCAGCGGGCGTGAAACAGAAGCAGATGAGCGACAGCAGGAGATCAGTGTCTCGTAAGAAAAACCAAAACGGCAGGGGTTCGTAGTAGCTGCGGCAAACAATCGTCGCCAGTGGCGCACACATGGCCACACAGGTATGAGAGGAGAATAACAGTAGGGGCACGGAATTCGCCCATGAAAAGAGCAGCCCAGCAGCCAACAAACATGGCAGCAGCTGGAATGAAGGGGAGCGCTTGAAGCTCCAGGTGTGGGCACGCTGGAGTGCGGGCACGCTGTACAGTACACAAGGCGGTGGCGGGTTCCGGCCACGGGTGCGGGCGGGGGCCACCTCATGCCCAGCCCTGCTCCTCGTCCTGGCCCCGCCCCGCGTCCATGCCATGCTCACCCATCAGCCCGCCCTCGCTGACGGGCTGGCGGGTGTCGTCGCCGGCGGCCCAAGCCGCATAGTCGGCAGACAGCTGCTGCAGGAAGCGGGGCACAGCAGACTCCAGCACCCGTGCCATGACCGCGCCGCCTGCGGCAGGCGGCGCACAGAGGGACAGCTTCGGCCAGGATGGCTTCATGCAGGCACGGCTTCATGCAGGCTGTGACCGAACAGCCCGGAACAGCCAGAACCGCTCCGTTCGCGGCGTGCGCAGCAGCAGGCGGTGGCTCAGCAGCTGCCCTGCCCCACGGGCGAGGCGAGCCAACCCCTCGCCCCGCCCTGCTCGGCGGCCCGCCGCACCTGTGCGCTCGATGGTGCTGGTGGGCAGCACAAACCAGGCGGGCACCTGCAGCTGCACCTGGATGAATGTGTCGGAGGCCAGCTGCTTGCCGCCGCCGGGCGCCTCCTGCCACCGCACCACATTCGTCATAGTGGCGTCAAACCGCTCGTTGGCGGCCTCCACAGCCTTGGAGCCCTTGAGCTGCGGCAGGGCGGCGTGGGGCGGGGGCAACTGGAGGAGCGGCATGGTGCGGCGTGGTGTGCGGACCGAGCGAGTGCCGCGACGGCAGCATTCACTGCAGGAGGCAGCCCAGCTCCAAGCACACAGCCGCACACGCGCACAGCCCTGCCAGCACCGAGTGCCAAAGCGCCGGCTGTGCCCCGGGCGCACCTTGGTGGACAGCAGCCGCACGGTGGGGCCTCGCTCCTGCACCGTGACCGAGACGGTGATGACGGGCTCCACTTCAAGCGAGAAGAGCTTGAGGCCGCCCACGTAGCAGCGGAAGGTGTCCTCATCCAGCCGCTCGATGCGCTTGGCGTCCAGGACGGAGTACTGGCTGGCGGGCAGGACCATGTACTCGGCTGCGGAGGGCACGGGGCGGGGGGTAGGGACGAGGCAGGAGGCAGTTGCAGGCTGGGGCGGGGCACGGGGAACGGTGGAAATGGTGCGGAGCGGCGCATTCTTGCTGCTCCTGGTTGAGATGTCGGCAGGTCTGCATTGATCCAGGCAGCAGTGAGGCCTCACCTAGCGGCCTCCCCTGCTCCTTCACATCCAGGAAGGCCCGCTTGGCTGCCTGCAGCACCGCCACCCGCTTGCCGCCGGCAGCCAACCTGCCGCCGCTATCCTGCTGCTGCTGCTCTGCCGGTGCCGCACCCGCCTCGCTGCCGGCTGTCAATTGCTCCGTCTCCGCCGCTGCACGTGCTGCCAGGCCTGGTGCTCGTTGGCGTGCTGCCGGCCGGGTGACTACAGAGTGTGGTTGCCTGCAGGGCCATGCCGCCGCCGGGCTTGTCCTGCACATTGCTTGTGCTGCGGACAGCATGCTGGAAGGGTTGCTGCCCGCACAAGCCACGCCCCCTGCTGCCGAGTGCGCTTGAGCCGCTCCCGTGTGTCGCTGGTGTCGCGCCTGCCGCTGTCGGGCTGTTGACCACGCCGTGAATACTCAAATTGGGCGCCAATCTTCAGGATTGACTGGCTCCATCTGTGCTGTGTGCTGCTGGGCCAGCGCGGCACACACACATTTCTCACATGAACACAAATTCATTATGTCTTATGCCCATCTGATCCAGGTAGAGGTGCAGGAGCGCTCAGGTGGCGCTGCAAGCCACCCCACCAGGGCCTTCACGGCTGTCTTTGTGACCCACACGCGCATTGCCGTTCCCTACACCGGGGGCGCCAGTGTAGGCAGCGATCCAACCATTGGGGAACCCAGGGCATCTGCCAGGGCCCGTGTAGGTGGCCCTCGTGTGGAACGGAGCCCTGATGGGCGCCCTTGCGGCAGCAGCAAGAACTGCGGGGCTTGCCAGCACCAGCTACGAGGTGCCATGGTCGCGGCCAGAACGATGGCAGCGCCCGCAGCCGCCGGGCCGCCTCCAACGCCAGCGGTGCCGCGGGCTGGCGGCACCGCCAGCGGCAACGCAAACATCGCGGCACCAGCAGCAGCAGCAGCCCCCCCAGCAGCGGCCTTGGCAGCTACAGGTGCGGCACCGACGCAGGCTGCCCGTCTGCCACAGCTTCAACCTGCCTGATGGTCTGGGCGAGAACCTGCGGCGGCTGCGGGGGGCGCCCAACCAGGGCCAGCAGGGGCAGCAAGGCGGCGGGCAGGCGGGGCAGGCCGGAGCAGCAGACGACCCGCAGCAGCCCAGCGTGTGGAGCGACTGGCAAGGTGGGGCCCAGGGGGGCGGACAGGAGCAGCAGACAAACTCCCGCTGCTTGCTGTGCATGTCGCCCCTCCCCCGCCGGTTGTTCCCTGCACTCCACCCTGCTGCTGCTGCCGCGCCTGCCACGGCCGTGCCCTGTCCCCTGCTGCCCCCTGCTGCCGCCCGCCTGGCACGCCCCGCCCCGCCACCTCACGGCCCCTCACCTGCTCCGCCGCCCGGGTGCAGCCGACGCCACCAGCGCGGATTGGGAGGACTGGGAAGGGCTGAATGTGGCAGACCTGGATGACCTAGGCGAGGTGGCGGAGCTGCGGGAGGCGGTCATCGAGCGGCGGCGGCTGCGGGGCGGGCGGCGCAGGAACGTGCGCGACGAGTACATACGACCCATCGTGGACGCGCAGGTGCGGCCGCCGCGGCTGCTGTCGCCGCCGCCGCTGCGGCCGCCGCGGCTGCGGTCGCTGCCCGCAGGATGCCCGGGCTGCGGGGCGCTGCTGTTCTGCTGGGGTTGGCCGGCTGCGCCCCGGCGCAGGCCTGCTTTCTTGAGCACGGCGGGGCCTTGAGCATGGGAGTGCAATCGGAGGCGCCGTGACCGACGCAGCTGCCTTTGACCAGCCCGCTCGCCCATCTGCTGCAGGGCATTGTCAACCGGCTGGCTGTGGATGAGGCAGAGGTGGAGGAGCGCGTGTTTGTGGAGGCCATCACCAACCAGTACGAGTCTCGGGAGGCGGTCAAGTATGCGGGTACGTTCTTGCGGTACATGCGGTACATACCAGGCGGTACACTTGCGCAGAACGCGCCTGGGAGCGGTTGGGCTGGGCTACGAAGCCAGCGTGGCCGGATGGGAGGGCTAGCGGCGAGGGTTGCAGGTGCAGAGCCCGCTCCCGCTCG